CCTTAAGATTAAGGACTCTGTTTTGCCAGGGGTCGACGGTCTTCCACCCAGTAATCTGAAACAAGGCGGCCGAGATATAGGAATACTTGCATTAATTCTTCTCACCCACTCCATAAAATACGGAGTCGTCCACTCCTAGTGGAAGAAACCTGTAATCCGCCCTCATTTTAAATCCGGATNTTATTATTATTGTCTGCACCGTCTAGTAAGCGTGGCAACTACTCATGTGCTGACACTCTAACGTACACGCAAATGTGCCTACATATAGGGAAACCGAACATAGTCAACACACACTGACACGCGCGCGCAGGGAGCAGGAATTCAACCACTCACCACAAGTTCACGGGCAATTGCGGAACACGTGTAGCAGAAACACATCCGAGAAAACACTTTCCAACTGTCCTGATTTTCACCAAGGGTTTTTCACCGACGGTGTGTTTCTTTTTTGACCTGATCCACATTTCGCATTGTGTTTATTGTTATACGTGTTGCGAATCACCATTGCCAACCATAATGAAAGCATTTATTAGTGCATGTACATTCTGAATTTTACTGTGGCTACAATAACATGCGCGCTAACAAATATTTGAATTACATTGTGGAACAGGGGGTACGTTACTTTTATCTTTGGATGGAATGATTATATTTTGCTTGTTAATCCGATAGAAAAACTCATCACCCGAAAGTTATGAGTATGGTCCTAGAGAATTGGTATGGGTGGACTTTGGAGTAACAGGATAGCAAGCCCGATGATGCATGAGGTTTTGAAGGGCACACTACTGTGATGTCGGAGGAAGATGGTGATCCAGAATATTAGCGGCGTGAAAATACTACGGCAGCTCCGTCGTTGCTGTAGGCGGCGAGGGGTTTGGGAATTTTGTATATGAGAATATACGGAGATCAGATGTTTGAGTGGACTAAGTGAGTTGTACTCTAAGGTGGAATTTCTTCGATGTTATTGAAGTCGGTAAAACCAGTATCCCCATCGGTGGTTCACGATTGCACAGCCGCTAGAATCACGTGGTCTCGCAGGAAGCCTTAAATTTTATACAGAGAAAAGACCAGGTGATTGAGGGATCAACTTCTAGCCTGCTGCAAGCACCCCGAAAAACCCACCCGTTCAGAGGTACAACCGGACAATGTTGGAAGATGCTGACTGCGTAACAATCATTTGTTTCGATCGGCTGCTAATTCAGTCAAGCGCCGAACAGCATGAGGAGGAAAACCCCAGACCCAATGGTTAACGCTATTCTGAGGACGGCACAAAGAATGGCACTGGTCTCAGTGGATGATTTCTGGCTGAACAGCCTTACTTGTTGCCTCTGGCAGCCTTCAGGGAAGAAAGTGCTGGGTTTGACCAAGAGTGGTTATCTTGGAAGCGCTAATTTTGCCACAAACAGCGTGTTCGTCGGTAAGTTCTTGTAACTTTAGTGGTCTTAGGTATGGGGACTGCACGGAGATTTAAGAAACGATACATAGTTTCGACGGATGGTTGGATGGTACACATTCAGACGGTAAATAACAGACTGGCGTTGAGGTGGAATTGCAGCCCCCGCTTGCCTCCCAATGTTCAACAACTTCCTGGTTCACGGTTTCTAGATGGAAGTTAAAGATAAGGAAATTCTCTGACTGAAGCAATGAAAGTACCATCAGGAAATTTAGAAAGCGTGAATTTCCAGCAATAGCTGTTGCTCTAAAGTGGTCGTCAGGCGTTCTGCGTATCCGCTGGAAATTGAAGCTTTAGGCTACTAAGTAGCTGCGCCCCGCTTAAGGAAGGTAGGTTTTACGTAAAAGCTATGACAGCAAGAACGGTGAGGCACGAGGTACAGCAAATTCATTCATGAAGCTAAGTTGAACTAACACTGAGAGCTGTTGGTGCGGAAGTTGATTCATACACGAGCCAAACTGAAGCAAATAATTGGCAGGTCCGAATCACGTGATCCATACCCTAGCATACGACTACTCCATACGAAGCCTTGCTGCTTAGCAGAGGTTTGAACCAACAGCCACCCGTGGTTCAATGGCCACGTGGGATAAGCTTCTGCGCAGGAGCCTGCTGGTTCGCGGTTCAAGTAAGGCTGACGTCTTCCGACCTCTTTCCGACTTTCCAGGTAATACGTTTCTTCATAGAAACTACTGCTTTTTCTGACAGTCTTGCACAACATAAAATAAAATTTCCTAAGATGGAGGCAACCTAATGTCCTGTGTGCTAAAAGTCTTGAATATGCATACATACCCATGACCACGGTTAAATTTGGATCGAGATGCCCGAAAACACAAATGTCGAGTTCATGCCAAACTTTAATTAAAAGAAGTCATGTGGGTAGTCAGAAACACATTTTGTGAAGAAAGGAAGGTCAGTGGAGGGCATTTAACCGTTCATTTTGTAGACGTCAAATTGTACATATTTCAAGCGGGGAAACGGAGAGTAAATTCTTCAGATTGTTTCAAGCTGTTTTCCCTCCTGAACGACCAGTCCATTTCCCTTAGTCTATGCGCTCTAACTAGGTAACTCATTTTTCCTCGGTTCGCGCACAAATGCTGTTGAACGTGGGAACTTCCTGACGGCGCCCAGTATTCGCACAATAGAACTGAATTTTCGAAAGGTACGACGTGTTTCTAAAGGACTAAAAATTGGTCATTTGAGTTGACCGTACCATTCCAAACTTTGAGCATCATTTAGGCCTCCGGGGTCGCAGCGATGTTGGGAATTATTCCACCAGACTTTTCTGCCAGAGATATGATTGCTTAAGTAAACATATAAATTTGGTGAGCTGCAAAAATATGAGCGTACGTATGGATTGTTCTTGGTCTGATCTCATAAGCAACAGAATGCAACATTTTTGCGCAAAAAATTTACTCCACTTGTGAAAGTTTTGCAGCCAAAAGAGTTGTGCGGATAATGTGCCTCCTTCCTGGTTTGTGCACAACTAAACAATCAGAATGCTGGCTGGTGCATGAATCGCGTACCTGTTGATGCCGCCGCGTCCTGGCGGCACACCCAAAATTTCTCCGAAAACGTGATTCGAAAGAGGGAAACTTTAACATAAAGTTTCAGCATTTGATGGTGTTGAATCTAACTTGACTTTACGATAATTCCCCTATTCATTTGCTTACTCCGCCTATGTACTTTTGACCGCCAGTTGTTTTGCTTATTCGTACCCGGCACTCACCTTGCCGCAGAGGACGTCCTTTCCGACACTTGTGTATTGACATGTGTCTCTCTGTGTGAATGCGCGCTGCTGACCTACTTACCCATGTGCGTTCATGTCTCGTTCGCTGGGCCTGCCTTGACTTGTTTTCTCATGGGCTCCGCGTGAGCGCACGTCAAATGAGAATCACGAGACCGTCGTCGGAGGGAACGACTGCAACCCACACTACTGAGCCGTCATTCCGCTCGCCGGTGTTTGGTGTGCGGACGTTGACACTGCACTGTGCCGGTCAGTGACAGACCTCTGAACGTGTTGACGCCACGAGCGTGAACAATTGAGGTTTGTTGCACACATTTGCTTACCCTTTGTGTAAATAGTACCGTAGAATTAAGAACCAAATTCTTCCTTTTGATATTCGGGATTGTTGAACCTACGCGTCACTCAAAGTTCCGTATCGGGATCCTCAACAGATGGTAATTATTCGGGCCCTTCAGATATCCCCCACGCGGCCATGAACCCGACAGTCCAAGGCCTCAGCGGTGACTTTGGGTTTTAGTTCAGTTTGACCGGCTGGATGACGCCAACTCTGTTGCTTCACCCGATCTGATGTTCCGGCTCCTCATTTTTTTACGGTTACACCTTTCTTGTCACGTCAGGCAGGAAGCCTCTTGTTTTACTCTCCCCCGCTTTGTTTTTTGCCCGCCATCTTCAAATCCTAACGGTCCGATGTTGCTAGGTATTCCTCCTAAAACGCATAGTAACTATGCTTCCCCGCCCATGCCGGTTTAGTGATGATCACGCCCATAACGGATAATGTCCAACCCCATGACGCTGTCCATTTACCTACCCCCATGTGTCCACAATTCCCACCAGCCATACTTTTATCCTGACTAATATTATGATCATGCCTGACGGTATGTTACTCACAAGCTGGGAATGAACACTGTTATTGATACGATAAGTGGCCAGGCAAGTCGACATCGAGTACAGTAATGAGTATGACAGGCCGTCAGATTGGGCTCTCACTTATAGCTGAGGCCCTGTTTTTACCGACCCACGTGGATACTGGCTCAGCGTTTACCAAAGGCATGCGGCATCGCATGTAGTTACGGGTATTAGGGCCGTCACTGGTCATTGGATTCGGCTGTCGTGCGTAGGTGAGGCTCCATAATCAGCACCGCACATGGACACGGACCCAGAATTACGTGAGGCAGTCGAGGTGAGTTGCAACGGCTACCGATATCACGGAGACCGCCCTATGACGGTCACCAACTATGGAGCGGTACATTCATAGTAGGAATGATATCTGCAGCTATTTCGTGATGCTGTATTGTCTACAGTCGAGTTATGCATATCTGGGAAAGCCTATCATCTACTGAGATGACCCTCACACCGTCACTGCACAATTCATGCTGTTGTCTAACAATGTTGCACTTAATGAAAGTTGATATCCATGGAAATATGTGTCGTGACCAGGTTTGCCGAACAAAATCTTCTCACCTGTTAAATCTGAGGGGTGTAAAGCAAACAAAAGCCAATGGCCGATCTTACAGGGTGGAACTCGGGTTGCGTATTCTTTAGATGTCTTTCATTCTTGATGAACACCGAAGAACGTCAACATATGCTGAAGTGCGATTTCGCGGCAACAAGATGCAAATCCATGATGGTCCGTTACCTTGAAATTTCGCTCAATTAAACAAAATGCCACGAGCAACATGTTATCGTATTAGACTAACTCTCATTAAATTCACAACTTCGAGAGAAAATAAATGGTGACAGCAACATGAGTGTGCTGAAACCGAAAAGACAGGCACGAGCCAAGTACGGTACAATGCAGCTAAAGGTCACTCAGTGAGATGCACAAGCGGAATACCGCATCCTGTCTGGGGCCTGTAGTGGCCCACCGGGGTACCTACAGTAGGGGAAGAAAAGTAGATGCGTAACTTAGGTCGTGCTGTGGCACCTCTTAGTAGGTACACTTTGATTCAATTGCGCCACATTTAACGTGTGAATTCCGCGTTCAAGATGAACAGTGGGAACGCCCAAACAGATTAGAGCGATACTGTGACTATCTAGAGGATATTTGCAGGTTTTGAATAATACTGCAACTTGCTAAATCTTTACGCTCAGGTTTTCTTCGTTCAAACTACGGCCTTTGGCTCATGTGCGTTGTGCGCAGAAGGGTCGTCGTTGGACCCCGGCACCCATCAGATATATGATTTCCGTGCCATAGCTGTACTTTCAGCATGCTTAAACACATTTTAGGAGAACCGCGACAGTGTGGGGAGATTCTTATTTTCGATTAAATAATTCCAAGAGATAAAACATTTTCTAAGCGTTCACCCAGTCCAAACTATCGTTTGTATGAAATTCGGGATGCACTTCTAGGAGTCAGCTGACTCAGCAGCTCGTTGTTTACGAATCTGAATCACCATGTCAATAGGAAGCCTTGAGAGATGACTCAGTGATGGTCCTAATCGAGTCAATCGATGAACGCAGCTTTCCTGGCCTCACAACCAGAAAGCCAGGGAATGTTGCTTGGCTACTTATGAGTAGCTGCAAAATTAGTAGAATTCATGTCCTGCACTTCTGCGTCATTGGGTTTGATGCACATTCTTGAACCATACATTCGCTCTAAATTTCTGGCAGGATCCTGTCTGACCATATGCCTAACCTTTTATTCAAAAGAATGCAGGGTATTTTAAACATTATAACAGTACAAGTTATAAAGCGTGAGGTAGCTGATCCAGGTAAGCAACCCCATTCGCCATCTGCAGTCAGAAAAACCTCTACGAAACTAGCCCATCTAATTGTGTCAAAACCAATGAAGACGCTGTATCTATAAGATATTATACACTGGAAGTAGGAATTCGCTGACGGGATCTTACTTAAATAAACTTTGCTTAAAGCTTCAATGGAACAAACCTCTAATTCAGCCTGACACGCTACCCCGAAAATTTTATAACCTACGGGACACTTTAGTTTGCATCCAGAACAAACTAATCGTGACCATTCCGCTAGAAATCTATCAGACGACGGAGCTTGCGGTTCAAATGGAACAGACTCATGTGCTCAACATCCCCGTTTGACTTAATTTTCAGATGAAGAGCATTTGAAATTTATCGGAAGTGCAGGCTCGGCTAAGTAAGTACGTTAGGTCCCATCCCTTTCTGCTGCTAACTTTTTAAGCAACATATCGCAAGATTCGAGCCTGGCCAGGTTATGTGTGGTGTAACAAGATTGCTCTTGCCTTCTTGATGGATGCTATCTAATGGGACAGTATTTATCCACAATCAGAGACGCATTAATGCGAGGTTGTAACGTCATCCATTTTACAGGGAAGAAACAAGTTTAGCAAGGCCATTTAGTAATGAGCTGCGTCGCAGGTGCCTGAATGAGTTATCAAGGTGGACATAAGGTCTGTGTTAGTTTTATCCAACGGGAATGTGATCGTTGATTTTCTTTGTTGAGCTGGACAGCTTGGTTATATGGAACCAACCAGCAGCGATAAGTACAGTCCAGGCTGTCAGTATTATCCTAAAATGCAGCAGTATAACGTGAAATTCTGGTTTTTGGACGACAATGTTGGCGCGCTAATCGAATCTCCACATAAGCCATTTTAGCTGACTAATTTTTTGACCCGAATAACGCAGCTTAACTCTTGCTTTCTGAATAAAACGTTCGGCTTTAATCCGGCTGACCTTCGAAGTTAGTGGAGAATGAAAAATACGTCAGAGGAAATCCATACTAGCTGTTGCATCAGCAAGCTTCCACGAAAACTGAGAGTAAATGAATAAGCGCGGGTCAGTCGGCTTGATTTGAACCTGCTCTGAATCGGTCATCAACTCGAGTCTTCCAACATATATTTTCCACTCTTTGGATCAGTCACTGTTCTGTTAGTTGGAGAAAGTATGGACTCGGGGAAATGGACTTTGTACATTTTACCTATTGCAAGAGAGGAGAGCAGATGTTATCTAAATCTTTCGTTTACGACATAAATATAACATTGAGGTTGTACCTTACGCAAAAAGGGCAAAACCTTTCATGTGCTTTTGTGAGTTGTCAGCAAATCTGTGAGTATTGTTTTCCATCAAAAAAAGATAGGATATGGAAAGTCAAATAGAACAAGTCACAGTAAGTAGTCAATCTTTTACTCTAAATACCAATTTAGAGGGTACGAAAGGCTTGTTTCTTACAGAACTGTCTCTCTATGAAACTAAGATGAATCATTCTCAAAAACTGATTGGTTCTCTCACTTTTTGCCTTTCAGATGTGTGAATTAAGTTGGGCCAAATGTGCAAGACGTTAACGTGGTTATATTTTTTAAATAGCAAAAAGGATTAATCCCGGGATCCTACCGAATTTGGACCAACTTTCTCGTGCTGCTAAAAAGTCGTTACCTGTTCACGAGCCCACGCACTGGACATTTCAATAGGCAAGCTTTGCGTCGATTAGCCTCACCATGTTAGATCCACCTGCTTTCGGAGGCGTTGCACAGTCTGGCAATGCTAGACATGAAGTTTTCTATTCAAGATATTGCAACGTGCACAGGTCATGTGAGTCTACCAGACAGAACGCCATCAATTGGTCGCTTTTACGCATCTAGGTGGCTCGATGAGGAGACTAAAAATAGCCTGGTAGGAACGTTTTGAAGTCTACTCGTTTTCTGACTTGATCAGTTTGTAGTAGTCTCTCATTTCGATGGTTGATTGAGGTCTCCTCCACAATGCCGTTTCTAGTCATTACCATACTAATCACTATTTGCAACCGAGTTTTTCGTAGTGGTGTAGTTGAGATCGAACGGCGAAGAATTGGACACAGACGAGTGAAAACGATCATCATAGACGAAGATCTTTGTATAAAGGCTTATTGTCTATGAAGCCCACAATATATCAGTCTCAAGTGACCTACATTAAAAAGTGAGAAATGAGAACTTGTACACTCATTACCCATCGGTGACGATTAGCAAAATATGTCGTCGTAGGTGTACCCGCACAAATCAGGATTACGTATCGGTTAAACAGGAGTGAAGGCAGGCTTATTACACCAACTCCTGGTCAGACCTTTAAAGAAAAGGTTTCTTCGTTTAGGCTCTGCGTCGATAAGCGGAAGCTCAAAACTCATTAAAGCTAGCTAAATGAGTCTTGGAGGCAAAAACGTGAATTGCTCTTTGTTTGTCCACACAACTACTCAGCTCAGTTTGGAAAAGACAAAAAACCCAAACTTCAGCTGAGTTTGGATGAAATGGGTGGTACTGTAACCTATTTTAACTCACTCTGTCGTTGTTTCATGACTTTTGTATCATTTCAAGCAGGTAGTAAGAAATCTGGCACAGAAAGACAGGTATACTTTATTTTGTTTTAAAAAAAACTTCTCGGTAGACTACAAATTTCGTCGCCATCACATCCGAAAAGTCATTTTCAGCGCATAAAAATCAATGGCTAATTTGTCCTCGCGGAATTTGTTTCTTAGACACTGGCACGGCTTAATTAAGAAACAAACAGGGGGCCCACTGAATCTCAACATCGTTAGTTCATTAATTAACCAAATGGGGCAGAGCAGATATATGGTTTGGTTATTAGTACCTTGTTTATAACAGAAGACAGAGAAAATCAGATAAACACTGAGATACACACTCGATACCTGTCAGCTGCTGCAGTGCGTTAATCAAAATGGGGGGGGGGAGGAAGGCAACGGGAATTTGGCAGGAAGGGGCATTCAGGCATTCTGAAAAGAAAAAGAACGCTAACGGAATGAATGCCTCTTTGTGGCAGTTGTATATTATAGACAAACCTTTCGTCATGCTTCTGTTTTCTACTATGGATCATCCCTCACGCCAAAACGCCGTTCCCATTTTTCGAGATAAAGGTTTCTTCCTTACATTGGCTTCAGTCAATCAGCCCACTGTCATTTTAATTTCGGCAGAAGTCTGCGTACTATCAAGTTCTTTCCTTGACGTACCCTCCATAAACTCTAGAGGTTAAAAAAAATCAAAATAATAAGCTTTTCGAAGGCGTTCTGTACAGCTCATATATCTGTGGGATGACTTTCCAAGTGGGACTTAAGATCCGCTAAGTATGTGCGCTTTACTCGGACAGATAGACAGATGCCCTCATGAGGTATGCAAACTCGTAACCTCTCGATTACGAGCGAAGTGTGTTGCGACCCAGTCACCCACATACTTGACTGTTCAACTCACAGTCGCTCACTGCATCACGAGGCTTATCTTTTTTTCTCATACTCACAAACACGTCGCATTAAGCTGACTCATCGGACATCGATTGTCTGCACCGCCTAGTCAGCGTAGCAACCACTCATGTGCCAGCGCGCCCACGTACACGCACTGGGACCTAGATAAAGGGAAACCGAACCCAGTCAGCATACACAGACTCCCGCGCGCGCAGGGAGCAGGAAGTCAACCTCTCCACAATTTCACGGACAACTATGGAACACGTGTAGCAATATTGCTCTTTAGTTTATACATGCTACAAATCGCTCCTGTAAACAACTGTCAATCACAGTTAAAAACTTTTATTAGTGCATACACCTTCTGATTTGTATTATGGCTATCACCACCTGTGCACTAATAAGTGCATTCTTAGCCGAATTAACGCGGACCTGCTTCGCTAGCTTCCATGGTTGATATGATAAGCACAGCGTTTCCAACGTAGTCATGCTGTCCGCACCGAAATACTGAAGTATCTTGGCCAACTACTGAATTCATTTCCGAAGAGGTTTATCACAAAATTGATTGGGTGAAATTCTTGCGACCCACATATGCTTTATCCTGTTTAAATACCTTTAAAAACATGCTTCAGGAAACAGTACTTTCCTTATAAGTTGTCTGGATCCGCGTACCATACAAAACATTGTTGAAATCTCATTTGCTATTTTGCAATACTGTTGTGTGTTGACGTGTGTTTTTAAATTCGTCCCTTATTTTGTTTTCATACCGTTCTTCAACTCTCCCATCCAGTTTTGAAATCCGCATGTTTAAACTGACAAGTCATCAAACTTTCCTGTTACCCTGTCTCGTTCAGGTCAAGTTTCTCCTGAAAGCAAGCACGAGGCTAACAAGTGTTGTGTTTCATTAAACCAAGCTGGTTTGAAGTGCAACAAGCAAAGACTCAACTAGTGAGAGTCACAGAATTCAGCGTGATTGTGTATCAACAGGGATGGAATAATATCAGACGCCTAAAATGGTATTCGACTAGTGTGTATGGGCCAAAAAATTACAGATGCTGAGTTAGTTGTCGACAATAAAATAGATTTAGATGTCAAAATGTGTCTGGTGCGAAATTTAATCATACTAAGGTTAGTCCTTATTGGGTGGGTTTGCTTAGCAAAGGAGTCCACTACACTGATAAACGGATGCCGCATTCTCATATTTCAAGAGATCTGAACTGAATCAATGTTCCTAAAGAACAAAAACAAAAATCGATCAAAAGTCCCTTTACATTCATCCTGTTAGTCTTGCTGAGGAATTTATGTAGTGATGGTAGGTCGTCGATACTCTGTCTTTTGTCTTCAAAATCATCTACAAAGTTATCACCAAATGTCCAGTCTTATGTAGATGGGTTCATCATCATCGACAGCGTGACATCAGTGTTCAGCACCGATGCTTCGCTGCTGTACAGAATACGGCCGATGTGCCATGAGTTTATTTGTATACGTGTGGGCCGGGATACTGCCAGAGCGCCCACACCTAGACAGGAGGACGATTAGGGTCCTTAACCAAGGCCTTTGATTCATAAGCCCTACCGTAAGGCAGCGGTGTTTGGCGGGAAACGCAAATGCATTAGCACTTCTACGGAACAAGTCACCACACGTTCCAACCCCCAACCTGGAGGGCCAGGAGACTGTGTTCGTCAGACTTCTAACCATTGACCAATCTGGTATGAGTGGTTCTGGGAGTATCGCGGGAACACCCCCAGTATAGCTCAATGGATCGCTGAGATGCGCAAACCGTCACACCATGGTAAGGTCCAGTCTCTTCATGACGGAGATGGAGTTGTGAATAGTTGATTTTGGGCAAGAAGACCCTTCAAGAGAGTAATGCGGATTATATCATCAGTCGCAAGCCACCAAACTTCTTCCACCTGCCCGCTGATATCAGGATGCATGAGTGTCCGTATGCTGGGTCACAAAGCAAAACAAGTTTGTAGCTATCCGACTGTGAACGAGAAATAAGTCCACTTAAATTGGCGAACTACACTAGTTCACAAAAATTAAGTCAGTGCTGCATCGGGGTGTCTGCATTTATCAACCGGTATGATATTCGAGACGATCGAGCGCACTACTCATGTGCCTGCTGAAGACTACTCGATAACTCACAACCGGTTCCGGTAGGCTGTTGAATAGTGTGCCCTATCAAGGTTCATTATAATCTCCAAAATAGCGAGCACTTTACAACATGTACTGATTTGAAACTGCCACCCTAGAGCTCATCTTGATAAATCGTGAGAATAACACGAACACACGTACATCGTAGTCAAAAATAGTAAGCTTTTAGCGAAATACACTTATTTGCAAACAAATACGGTTTTTCGAGAGACTCACCCGGGACCCAACGGGACCTCTCGTTTATGGTGTTCTTAAGCAACTGAATGTGCTGCACCAGGCCGCCTTATGTTTCAACTGTTACGATATTCGAGATATAACGATACATATATAACCGCATGACACTACTCATAAGGTTGCTGACCACTCTTCAACAGCCCTGGTGAAGCACATTTAGTTGCTTGAAAACATCATAAACGAGAGATTCAGCTGGGTTCCAGGTGAGTCTCCTGAAAAACCAAATCAGTTTGCAAACAAGTGTATATTCACTAATTTTGTGCAATTTGGAATCAAGTAGAACATACGGTTGACGGGAACTCGTGGACTGCGCCTACCTGATAGGCCCCAAAAAGGGCAAACCGGTCGTTGGCTGTCGGAGAATTCTCATCAACCTTATGCGTAGTATATTTTGCCTGTAGTAAGCTTTTGGTTTCCAGTTAACATAGCCAAAAGTTGATCAAGATGGAGTGTTAACTCATCAGCGGACCACTGTATTGTTCGGAAATAAGTCCCTCTTGATCGAAGTTCAACACCATTTTGGTTGCTCCACTTTTACGAAGAGTATTTAAAAAATCGCTAGCTATGCACAACTAGAGTCAGATTATGCCAAATTGGGTTTTCGTTAAGCCAAACGAGCAATTGTTGTCCAACTGGACAGAGAGAATGAAATTGGCTTTCAGTGTGCAAGTGAGGGATGACTTCAATTTTCTTAACAAAGTCACTTCCCATGAAGTAATATCAATTAAATGAAGTCAAAAGATGAAATTTAATAATTCTCATCATAGCAATAGTGTCCAGATGCTCCCAGAAAGATCGACAAAAGATTCGTTTATCAAGAAAGGCAAATTCTGGGATCTGAAGCAAGAAGGTTCACAAACATTTTCGCCATCTGATGTGCAGTGAGGGTACCAAAATGGACTGTCTTTTTTTACAATTGTTATATCTGCTGATTCGCCGACCTGTAGTGTCTGCTGCTGACCCGCTCCAGTGTCTAGTGCCGGAGAGAAAAACGCTCACGGAAGGGAACACCATAGCTACATTCCAACAAAGTGGGTGCAAGAGCGTGAGTGCATGCGAGTGCGAAAAGTACAACGACCTCAGGCTTTTTATTGGAAGGACACTGTCTGAACTTCGTCCAATGCTGACGCACGCGGTCTGGCTTTAGTACGAGGCAGCGACGTGCTGCATATTGCGGAGGCGTTGTCTGTCCTTGATCAACGCTGACTCGCGCTGTCTGGGTTTGAGGCAAGGCTGTGACGCGCTGCATATTGAGGGGGCGTTGTCTGTCCGGCCAACACCCAGCGGAGCTGAGAGTCGCCGTAGATTCCGGGCATTCAGCGGTTGCTTTCAGGAAGCTGACCGTCCTGATAACAATACTCGCTCAAACATTGGAGCATGATTCGGACACTGAATTAGACTTGGATAGCTCAGCACGCAGGGGGAATTTAGTAAAATCTTTGGAACAAAGATTTTTGGATGTGTCGTGAGCTCTCGGAGGGTTTTCAGCAACCCTATGATTAGTTTAGTATGTCTGTACAGTTTTTTGCGACACCTCGAATATCGTACAAAATGAAACATTATGGGGTCCGGTTCGCCACATTCAGTTGCTTATGAACCCTATGAAAGAGATTTACCCGGGTTCCCTTGCAGGTGAGTCTCCCTGTCAAATCCAAATTGTTGTGAAAATGGGGGTATCAGTCAAAATCTGTCCAGTTTCGGTTCAATTAGAGCACAATGTTGACTAAAACTCGGGGGCTACGCCTACTTAATGAGCCCCAAGATGGGTGAAACTGGTCATGGGCTGTCAAGGAGTTTTCGGTCACCGTATAATTAGTGTATTACTTCTTGAATATTAATTAACTTGCCTAAGAACATGGTAAACGTGAGTTTCACCTGGACTTCAGGTTGTTCTCCTGTCAGAACTGGAATGGTTTACTCACGAGTTTATACGGTTCAACGAGTACTTCATGACTTTACGGCTAGTGAAGCTTTTAGGATTAAATTGACAGAAGTACGTCGGAGAGTGTGAGGCGTAAGCTATGATTCCGGTAAATGTACAATGATAGGCGTCAGGTGTTTTTCGCTTACCCACCCTGCTCTGTAAAGCAACTAAGGTGACCCGACTGATGAAACAACCCGATGGCCCTTGTGACATGACAAGATTTTGG